CACAGCCAGCCACAGCAGCACAGCCAGCCACAGCAGCACAGCCACCCACAACAGGATAACCGCCCACAGCGATACAACCAACCACGGCCAGCCAGGTAAAGTTTATGCTCTTTTCATAATCAACTCCCAATACATACGTGCATATATACATACGTACATATACTAGTAAACAAGTTGATTGACGATTGAGAACCGGGACCAAAGAGCCAAAGCTCAGCCCCCGCAAGCACAATTAAGTGAGTAAATTCATATATACATACAACGTTTAGACACACCCCACCAGGAGACTTGAACCCTGGCCATCAAGATGGCCAGATGCTTCATGGGAATGTGTGTGTACTCGCCTAGTAGTACTCACCTAGTTGTGCTTACGGAGGTTGATCTTCACCATGTTTGTAGGTATGTGTTTGTGAATACCGTATGTATATGTATGTTTATGGGGTCCACCACCGCCCACAGGATGGGTATGGGGTACTTTACTACTTACAAGATGGGTATGGGGGTCCACCACCACCCACAGGATGGGTATGGGATCCGCTACCACCCACAAGATGGGTATGAGGTCCACCACCACCCCACAGGAGAACCATGGGGTGCATAATACATAAACTACACCAAAAACACTCACATGCTTCCTCAGTGGGAGACGCCACACACACACACACACCGGCCCTCTGACACACGATGCAGTGAGGCTACCACCAAATTCCAGCCAATATCGCCATACCTAACGGGTCCTTCCAGTCAAAATATGTAAATAAATATCCCTTGTACGAGGAGAAACACTGAAGAACAATTATAGACCGTGCATATTCTTGTTCTTCAAAGATTTTCCCACTCAGCCCTGTCTCTATTAAAGTGTTTGTGTTTCATGAAACCTAATGATGATTCTTTTTTTCCCTTTTTGCAGAAACGCCTATTCCACCCACCATTGTATATAACATCTCTCACGTCGAGAATATGTACATGAAGAACGGGAACGATGGAATGAGGGAAGAGGCAGAGAAGGAGAGAACGAAGCAGATGATAGCCAGACTGGAGAGTAAAATGGCGAAGATGAACCATGGTTACGAGGTGATGAGGCAGTGGATAGGGGTCCTGAGGCGAGGGCTCGTGGCGACAAGGCGACTCAAGCGAGAAGAGGAGGATCAAGTAATGGGATGGGATAAGGTGGTAATAAAGCAGGAGGGAGAGGGAAAGGGTGGGCAGAGGAAGGGATAAGGCGGACGGTTGAGAGCAGCAGACGACGTTTCTACCTTCAAAGTAGATGACTTCTACCTTCAGCGTGTAGATAACGCCTCTACCTTCCAGGTAGATGACTCGACTACCTTCAACATACAGTTTGCGAATCCCCCAAGTGGGCCTAGCATGACTATGCTGACTAAGTTAATTCCCCAAATTAGAAGTCTTTCATATGAAGAAAGATTAACAAAGCTTAAGTTGCATTCACTGGAAAGGCGAAGAGTTAGGGGCGACATGATAGAGGTTTACAAGTGGGTGAATGGACATAACAAGGGGGATATTAATAGGGTATTAAAAGTATCAACACAGGACAGAACACGAAACAATGGGTATAAATTGGATAAGTTTAGATTTAGGAAAGACTTGGGTAAATACTGGTTCAGTAACAGGGTTGTTGATTTGTGGAACCAATTGCCGCGTAACGTGGTGAAGGTGGGGTCCCTCGATTGTTTCAAGCGCGGATTGGACAAGTATATGAGTGGGATTGGGTGGTTATAGAATAGGAGCTGCCTCGAATGGGCCAATAGGCCTTCTGCAGTTACCTTTGTTCTTATGTTCTTATGACTTTCCTCACCAAAATATCTGCCAATCTTAAATGATAAAATGCTCCATGTTGTAGGAAAACATTAATAAAAACTTAACCCTATATATTTTTTTGTGTATCCTCTTATGATTCTTAAGTGACATACAAATAGTTAATTATGGCTGGATTGAACAGGTTGGTGGTGTTGGACTTAGGGTCTATTAACCTCTGGAGGGTTATTAAGATAACCACAAGTATACTTTAAGTCTAGAGGTTGGCCAGAACTAAAGTAAACTTGAGTGTATTCACTCCGAGAAGCATCTTTGCTTGAGATAAAAAACAATAGATAACAATCAGTGAACAATCATTCCAATAACAGTAAAATTAGAATGATGAAGCAATGGCTATAGTAATTTGTATAGCCTATGCTTTACAAGAAACATGCATCGTTCAAATAGAGGCCTAGAAAACATTGCTTTAAAGATAGACGCATTTTAACTTGCACATAATTTGTAAACATTACATTATTATAGTTCTATTTTGAGGCTTTGATTTCAATCAAAGCCGACTGAGAACCGCTCTTCACATGATCATCAAAGAACCTTCTAATACACAGTTTCAGCACATAGTTTTACCTGAGAGACATTATCTTCATCGGCCTTGATGGGAACAGGAAGCCGGCGGCTTGTTAGACATCCCTTCCCCTTATTTATGGGTAATTTGAGCATTAATACTAATATTTACTCCACTGGCCTCAAAGTTGCCATAATTGTAGCCTAGGCTAACCTTAAATAGTATCAGCTGCTCACCCATGCATTGTCATTCACACCTGATGTATATTATATTTACTATTTCTAGTTAAAATTGGAGTACTTGAACTATTCTGTAGTTGGTAATGGGATCGACATTGGGCATTCATTCAGCATCTTCGAACCACTGCTGACGTTAGCATCCGATTGAATATTCGAGTCCAGAGATTCTTCTTATGGAATGGAAGGAGCATCCATGTGGGGTGTAATTATGGCTGTCATCTTCCCAGAATATTAATTATTGATAAATGACTTTCCTTATCTCCCAGATAGCAGGAATGTAAAACGATTAATCTTTTCTGTAGCCTAGGCACTTGGAACCTATAGTAATTTGATTGAAAATTACGCCCTATCCTAAATCCTTATCCTCACGTGCTTCCATGTGCTAAATAGTCGTTTTGGCTTAGTGTTTACACTTGATAATTATCTACACCGCTCCGTGAGGCAGCCTATTACACCACACCATGGCGTCTCGTCGGTAACCTTGTAACATTAAACATTTCAAAACTCCAGCGCCAGTCATTCTTCCCGGGGAAAAAATGTCTTAAAATCATTTCCAGTTTCAAAGGCTCATATTGCATAGATGTTTCACTGGAATAAGTGCAATGCAATTTGTATGATTTAAGTGTCAATTTGTCCTTGAAGCAACAACTTTGCTTGCAATTTGAATTTCTTTAATGTGTTTGTTATCATATGTACGTTTCTTCTGATATATAAATATTCTCTCCCCCATATATACATGTTCTCTCCTATATACATGTTCCCTCTCCTATCTATATCTACTACAAGATATAATGTATGTTCGTTTCTCTAAGGTTCCCTTGAAGCTAGATTGACGGAATTTTCCAGGGGGACTGTTGTTGGGTATGGAGCAGACATAGACTGATCGAGGCTGCCAGAATTGAAGAGGTAACAGCTTTTTGTAAGAAGAAGTATTGACTCCTTTTTCTGAAGATGTATTAATATACGAGAGTACTTAAGGAAATTCATGTTTCAATTTTCCTCCGTGGTCTGACACTGTCATATATATATATATATATATATATATATATATATATATATATATATATATATATATATATATATATATATATATATCTTTATTTATTTATACTTTAGGCTTAATAAACGAATTAATTATTAATTAAAATTGATTTAAAGCCAAATGGTTTACCTTGACGTCAAGGCAGGTATGATATACAGGATATTAATATGCTCATACATACTCAATGTATATTCTGAAGGTTTCTGCATGGTTTGTCTTCCATGTATCATAAGTGATAAACATCCGGAGAGATCGATCAAGATTAAGTATTATTTTTTATATCTTAGTCACAGAAAAATATCTTCTTTGTAAAACAAAAAATGTTTGCTGTTTAAAATATATGTTTTAAAACACAGATATTTATATTTAGTCGTCAAAAGTCTTATAAAACAAAGATATATGTAATGAATCCATAAGGGCCGTGATGAAGGGTTCGAACTTACGTCCAGGATAAGTAGGATAAGTTCAGACGTGTGTGTAAAGATATATGTATTTTTAAACACGCCACGTGGATGGAATTCGTATGTTAAATTTTCATTCAGAGTAAAGCAGGAATGCTCCTGGGCATTAAAACATATTTCTTCCTTGACGTCATATATACTTGAGAACAAATTATGTGTAAACATGGAGCTTATACTTTAGCATTTCCGATATGTATATATTTTTTATTTAATTATGGTCCCCCATGCCCATCGTGTGGGCATTATTATGTCCAAGAGAAGCGTTGGTTCGACGTTAAATGAACGTTGATGACGCTAAATAGGCATTGCTTTTGGATATTGTGCTCACTGAGTAAGTTGAGTTAACTCTTGGACATTAATGGTCAGTGAGTAGCGAGTGCCGGCACTGGATTTCAGTGTTCCAGCCATATGTTGACCAGACCACACACTAGAAGGTGAAGGGACGACGACGTTTCGGTCCGTCCTGGACCATTCACAATCAACTTGAAAATGGTCCAGGACGGACCGAAAAGTCGTCGTCCCTTCACCTTTCTAGTGTGTGTGGTCTGGTCAACATATTTCTACCACGTTATTGTGACTCCTCGTCTGCATTGGTTATCTGTTCTATAAGATAAATACTGACCAATTAAAATCTACCTAAATGAGTATTTGACCCGTTTCTCAGATTTCAAGATGGATTGCAATGATGCACATCGAAAGCAATTTTATATATGCAGTGAACTAGTTGCATTTACCTCATTATTCTTCATCCTGTTGCAAGGGAAGTGATATAATATCAATATTTAGACGGGTGACAAGACTTGTCAACAAAGACCACGTGACCTAGCAATGGGTGCGGGGGGGGCACCCAGAGCTCCTCAGTCGTGTATTATCCACCGGCGAGAGAGGACGTGCGGCTCCAGCTCCTCCCAGACCCACGCGTCTCTCTCAGAGATCACTTACAAAACCTGCCCTGAATCTTGTACTCCTTGCATGACATCTTGGCACTCAAGGTGTAATGCTTTGTTATCAAAACGCTTCGTGTAGTGATATATACTAGGCTGCAAACTACAGTGTGATTAGTCCCTCTCAATCCTTACTAAAGTGCAAACGTGAACTGAAGAGAGAGATCTAGGCATATAATCGAGGAATTGTAAGATTTGAAATAAGATTGATCAGGGATACGATATCAAATTTCATTCTGGAATTAAAGACGGACGATTTCGGACACAATTCCTCTCCTAAACGGAACATCTTCAACAGTTAAAAAGTAAGTCGATTTTGCTGTCTTGGGCATATTATTATTATCATTATTAGGCCTAAAGGTGTGCTAAGCACCAAGGGGAGTCTGCACTCACAATGAGAAGAGTTCAAGACTAATGTCATAATTGTATAATCAGGCTTAATTGTATAATCAGTCTAATGCTCTGGCCACGATAACACGATATCTTACCACACGAACACCGAATGAATGAATGAAATGATTCTAAAAACCCTTCTCATCATCGTAAAGTTGCAAAATTGTTGATTTGCAACTTAAAAAGTAAACAAAACACTTTCCGCTTAGATAAACAAGACATTACAAGTGTTCAAGACAGCTGCTACGGGCTACTGCAGCTTCCTGGGGGGATGTGTAACACAAAAAAAGGAGGCCTAGTCGAGGACCGGGCCGCGGGGGACGCTAAGCCCCGAAATAATCAATCATCTCAAGATAAAAACTTAAGATACTGGTGTAAGGTATTGGTAGGGGGGGGAGAGTCTTATCAACATATTCTCGTTTTGCTGTCAGATATTTGTACTTTTCCAGGGGTAACCTGGAGGCCAGAGTGGAGGGGTGTTCGTGGGTCTCTTAAGGGGGAAGGGGGTACGGATTGGTGGAGGGGGGGTATATAGGGGGGTTCGGGGGCAGATGTGGCAATGTCTTAACTGGAACAGCTGTAAGAAGCGCACGCCCAGAGATATATAGACTGATATGTAGACAAAGACATGTAAACAGACGGATATATGACACACCAGACAAAATAATATGTAGACGAAATAAAAGTAAACTACTCAAAATTTGAGACTCGCTGGAAATACAAAAGAAAAAAAGCTGAGGAATGACATCATGCCTATCTCTCCGCCTCCTCCTCAGGCATACACAAACCGGATAATATCGGCTACATGCATATAAGTAAGTTCACCACGGGCTCACCATAGCCCGTGCTACTTGCCCCGCTCCTGTGCCAGGTATAAGCTCACCATAGCCCGTGCTACTTTGAACTTTTTCCGAGTAGCTGAATTTATAACAAAGCCTACATTGCCAAAGGTCGGCCAGCCCTTCGAGGTCCGGCATGAGCTTGAGAAAGGACTCGTTCAGAACCAGTGACGACTATGCAGCCTCGGCATGGAGGCCACATCTTGCCAGAGAAAATAAGAACAAAGGTAACTGCAGAAGGCCTATTGGCCCATACGAGGCAGTTCCACCCAATCCCATACATATACATGTACAACCTACGCTTGAAACAATCAAGGAACCCCACCTCAACCACGTTATGTGGTAATTGGTTCCACAAATCAACAACCCTGTTACCGAACCAGTATTTACCCAAGTCTTTCCTAAATAAATGATACAGGAGGAGACGGTTCATGCCCTCAGAGTAGCTCTAACGATAATAGGGAATCAGTTATAGGGAAATAGAATTAAACTTTATATTACTGGATGAGAAAGGTAATATAGAAGTCATGATCATGACATACGAAATACTCGGGTATTAACAGCGTGGGCATGGATATTTTTTTAAATGGAATGAACCCGCAGTGGCAGAGGTGGAAACTGCTTCTAATGAGCTATGGAGTGAGTTATGGAGGCAGACTATATATGGATCAAATATATATCATGTAGATGTGTATATACAAAGTTATCATGAACGACCTTGCGTAACTTCAGAGCTCCTAAATTTAGTGAATCCCGAGTTAAGCTGCCATGGCCGAGATGACAGAGGTGCAAATCTGGAAAGAGGACACTTAAGTGCGTCGTAAGTCCTGACCCTGTACACCAGTCAACTGAACCTTGGGGTTCAATTGACTGGTGTCAGTTGTGTGGCATTATAGTGCCATTATAGTGTTTCTATAGTGGCACTATAGAGACACTCAGACCCTCGCAAGCAACAGTAGACTAGTTTTTCTCACTTAGTCTACTCTGAGGCGGGACATCGTAGAGTAATTGAGGACATAAGTTGAAGGACACAGGTAGATAACAGTAGTTACTAAGAATTCATGATTGAAAGGGGGACCAGAAGAACATTACAGCCTAAGAGGGCCACTTGGGTCGAAAACAACATAGTAGCCTAAATTATACATTATAATTTAGTTTTGATTTCTGTTCAGGACTAAACTGAACAGCCATTTCAGGCCATAAGAGTACGCAAGACCGGAATGGAACCCGCATCTTGCGACGGTCAAGAAGTATTAAAGAGTATAGTGATGTATTACAAAAGAGACAAGCTTTAGTTAACGAATCCCTATCTAAAAAGATAATCTCTCTCTCTCTCTCTCTCTCTCTCTCTCTCTCTCTCTCTCTCTCTCTCTCTCTCTCTCTCTCTCTCTCTCTCTCTCTCTCTCTCTCTCTCTCTCTCTCTCTCTCTCCTCTCTCTCTCTCTCTCTCTCTCTCTCTCTCTCTCTCTCTCTCTCTCTCCCCCTCTCTCTCTCTCTCTCTCTCTCTCTCTCTCTCTCTCTCTCTCTCTCTCTCTCTCCCCCTCTCTCTCTCTCTCTCTCTCTCTCTCTCTCTCTCTCTCTCTCTCTCTCTCTCTCTCTCTCTCTCTCTCTCTCTCTCTCTCTCTCTCTCTCTCTCACATCTTGTCTAAATCGACGTATTTTAATAAACAAAACAATTCTTTAAAAAATCGATGATATCTTGAACTTCAGAAGCAATAAAAACCCGCAGAGACAAAAGCCGTGACTAAACCTCTCATTAAAATAAAAATTAATATTTGTATTGTCAGTGATAAAAAGCGTTTGAGTGTTGTAAAGTGTTCCTTGGGTCGTGAAGTTCTGTAGGAGTCGAGTCACGCTGTGTATCTGTGTGTGGAGAAAATAGGTCAGGTTAGGCTAGTGTGAAGGTCTCTCACGACTGCTCTTATCCCAGGCATGGCTGTCTTGGATTGTTAATTATCCAAGTCATGATTGACTTGGATTGTTTATATCCCAGGCATGGCTGGGATAATAATCCCAGCCATGCCAATAATCCCAAGGTTCATTGCGAATGAAGTTTGGGTTGTTAAGTATCCCAGGCATGGCTGTTTTAGGTTGATAATTATCCCAGGCATGATTGACTTGGGTTGTTAATTATCCCAGGCATGGCTGTCTTGGGTTGTTAATGAGATAATTGTTGTGGTTTTGGTGTTGGGTTTAAGACCTTTCAACAGCGGAAGGGTTGGGGTTGGGGGCGTCTTGTAAGGCTTTGACTCAAGCCTAGTAGCTAACCAGTAAGACTATGCCTCAGTCCTGAGCATAGTTCAAGGCTAAAGCATACTCTATATACACCGAAAAGCGAAGCGTCTCTCTGTATATATATATATTTCCCTGACCGTTATGTTACTGTATTTGATACAGTAACATACAGTTATATCTGGAACAAATTAAAACACTAAATTTTCAATATTAGGCTATATGGGCCAGCCTGATGTTGGCTAGACCAAGGTTCTATATATAGAAACGATATCTTTATATCTTTATATAAAGATATATATACATATGTATATATATCATACACCCTTCTGAAGATGTATTATTAAATACGAAAGTATTTAAGGAAATTCACGTTTCAATTCTTCCTCCGTGGTTTGACCCTGTCATATATACATATATATAATATCCTTAAGTACTTTCGTATATTAATACATCTTCAGAAGGAGTGCATCTTCCTTCTGAAGATTTATTAATATACGAAAGTACTTAAGGAAATTCCTGTTTAAATTTTCCTCCGTGGTCTGACACTGTCACATTTTTAATCACGTGTTTGTTTTCGTGATATACACTTATATATATAATATCTATATATATAGATATCTTTAAGCGTCTAGGACTCACTTCACGAGTAAGTTGTAGGCCTTAGATGAGCGGTTGTGACGAGGAATGATAAAATATTCCTAGTTAAGACCTAGTTACCTGTGATAGCTCGACTTCTGACTTTAATGCCTTCTTGTAATTACTTAGCCTACTCGCAAGGTATTACTGAGGTATTGTGAATGAGAAACACAGTTGTCTAGTGTGATTATTTTTCAACTTTAGTGGTTAATGAATGGTATTTGGATGATGGTCAATATGATGTGTTTTTTATCGAGAAAAACAGGTAGAGAGGTGTGTGTGTGTGCTTACCTAGTTGTGCTTGCGGGGGTTGAGCTCAGGCTCTTTGGTCCCACCTCTCGACTGTCAATCAACTGGTGTGTGTATGTGTGTGTGTTTCATCAGGGGGTGTTGCGTGTGCGCATGTGTGTGTCACAAGGATTACATGATTGCCTGAGTGGCCAGAAGTGTACTCAGTGTGCACTGGACCAGCACCCAGGCTGCACTGGGCAGAAATAACGAGAGCGCTTCGGCA